AGGCCTTTCGGACCGCCTAGGCACTGGGCAGTCCGCTTTTTGAATCACTGATAGAGTCACATCTATTATGTCACATAATCAGTCACTTCTTTGACAAAATAGGACGATTCTCAAAAACCGGTCCTATTACGATTCCCTCATGGGATCGGACAGGTCACCCACTGGTTCTGATCCAGCTCGTATGATTCCGAGCCCAATCACCAATTTTTAAAACGCTGCCGTTAAAACTAGCAAACAATGGTCTGCTCTTCAATCTCTCTCAAGTCATTCTAGGTCATGAGTTGATAGAATTCCTCTGTATGCTCATGCATGCACGCAATCACTTAATAGAGAACTGATTCTAATCAGTTGGAAGAAATTTTTGGCACAACTTGATTTCACTTGTCCAAAGAACCTTATCTTTCCAATGCCTTTCTCTATCCATTTGGACATGCTTCCCCAAAGCAAAGCATGTCCTTTCAATTGTAAACTCAGAAACTTAACCTCTCTATCCCCCAGCAATTCCTTCCATTCAAAAAATTGTTCAGCTATAACCTATCTAAAAGATCATCATGTTGCATTCTGCCGTGCAAATTCGTGTCATCAATGCAAATTCCAAGATCTCAACTTTGTTCTAAGGCCCTTGCAAGATGATCCCTAATTTGGTTCTCCTTTGTTCCTGAAGAAGCTTCCGAAGTTTTGGCTCCACTGTGCTATGACCAACCTCTTCCAATGGGGGAGGAGGGGTTCATGTCCCTCCTGGCCTCCTCCAAAACATGAACACTTGGATTTTCATGTGGTTGTTGCAAGGGCGTCCTTGGATGTAAAATAATGATATGATGCATAGTAACAGAAAAAATATCTACACTTTTATACATGGTGAGGTTAAGGTCAGTTTCCATCTATCAGAGAGGGTGCAGCTCATGAAAGGGGTTGAGAAACCATCTAATGTTTCCACTAAAGAATTCTTAGAAGAAAGTCCAGAGACTTAGTTGGTTTTCGGAGATCAGAGGGCGAAAGAATTGCCTGAGGAGATAAGCCCTGGATGATCAAGATCAAGGACATTATGCTCGATGATTTACCGCCACTGCAAGATATCCACATTGCATCAACTGGGTACATGGTGCTAATCTTCCAAATCAAGCTGCATGTCAAATGTGTCCACTTGAACATTAAGAATTGAAGAGGAAAATGGAACATTTACTTAAAAGGAGCTGATTCCTAAGAACATGAGCCCATTCCAATGTCGGCTCTTATGCCAAAGAAGTACGGATCATGGAGGATGCTTGCAGACAGCTGCACCTCAACAAAGTAAGCATCAAGTATAGGTTTTCTCGTACCAAGACTCGCTGATATGTTGAATATGTTGTCTGGTTTTCAGGTCTTCTAAATATTGACTGGTAAAGTAGATATCATCACATTAGAATGAGGCTAAATGATGAATGGAAGACGTCTTTCAAGAACCATGACGGACTTAATGAATGACTAGTTATTCCTTTCGGGTTATCCAATGTATCAAGCACTTTTATGCAGGTCATGCTTCAGGTACTTCATTTAACGAAAAATTTGTAATTGTGTGTTTTCATGATACTCGTTTGTATAATGCTAACCTCAAGGAACATATGGAGCGTTTGCGTAAAAGTCTTTTAAGGTTCATCATCAAGAGAACTTATAAGTGAACCTAAAGAACTGCTCCTTAAAAGATAGCTTTGTTTTCCTTGGGTCTGCAAATGGGTCAAGGAGGACAAGGAGAAGATTATGTCCATGGTTGAGTGGCCTACACCATTGTTATTGGGATTGGGATCAAATCAGATCCAGGACTCGATCAGGACTGCGGGATCGTGACGAGCAGGAAGCTCCTTATGTTTGAGACGGGGATCACTACACATTAAAATCTTGGGTTCTTGATCCCAATATGTAGGGAGCTTGATCAAAAAATCAGGTATACAGGGCCAAGATCCATCTGGTTAAAAACAAAGGCCCCCGAGAGCGATTAACTAGTATAGCATGATAGTATACACTGCTATACTATACCACACTACTACACAATAATATATTGCTATAGTTTACTGCAATACTATGCTATATATTACGTTCTACAATACTATATGCTAATATATTTAAATGGACCGCATACAACTATACAATATATACTATAATAACTATTATACAATACCATATCATACTGCTATAAGATACTATAATGCTGGGGAATCTAGATCCCCTATAACTCATGATCTAAATCCCTAATCCATATATTGGACCTATTTATTAGGTGTGTCGAGGGAATGGGCAATCAACATGCTAGGTTTTTATGATGGATATCTCTTCTTTTGGCCATGTTTGTGGACTCCAAAGGCTCTTTGCTTGAGAAGGTACTGAAAGAGCCTCATGAGGGACGCCTAAGAGGCCATTTCAAGTGAGCTAAGATGGTTGCATTGGTAAGACAAACAAGTGAGCTAAGATGGTTGCATTGGTAAGACAAACAGTTTGGCCTGTGCTTCACCAAGATGTTCATTGTTATGTCAACAGATGCCAATTTGTTAATTGTTGTGTGATCAAGCTCAGAATACGGGTTTTACATGCCATTAGTGATGCTTTGATCTTAGTATGGTTCTTGTTTTGGGCTTTCTAAAGGTTATGATTCTTGTCCTAATTGAAGTCAGATTGCTTTCAAGAATGACTCATTTTATTCCTTGCAAGAAGACCACGGATGGCACCTACATTCCACACCTATTCTTCAAGGAAATTGAGTGTGTCCATGGAGTACCCAAATCAAACTGCTTCAGACCGTGCATGTGATTGTGAACCAGTTTTCAAGGGTTCTATCAAAGAGACTTGGTACTAAGCTTCAATTTAGCAATGCATATAATCCACAAATTGATGGACAGACAGAAGCGGTGAATAGAAGCTAGAGCAACTTATTAAATGCCTAGTAGGGAAGCTGACCAGCCAATGGTATTTAATTGCTAGCATAAGTAGAGTTGACTTGTACTAACTCCCAAAATTGAACTATTGGTAGCTTATCTATGTAACCTAGTCAGGTTCTTAATTTGGTGCCTTTGCCAATTGAAGCCTACCTTAGTAATGACACTAGGTGTTACGCTGCACCAGAGCATAAACAGGTGTATTGTGTATGAGAAGATAGAAGAAAGTAATGCAAAACATAAGAAAGACGCGGATTCCCATTGAAGGTCAAAGAATATAATATCAAGTTGGTGATCTCGTGATGGTTTATTTGCAAGAAGAAAGATTTCCAACTGGACCCTCATAAGTTGATGTTCAAGAAGGTAAGACCATGTAAAGTTCAGAAGAACATGGGAATCAATGCTTATAAAATTGATTTCCCAAAGGACCTTCATGCATCTTGCATTTTTAATATGGTCGACCTTTATGAGTATCATGGTGACCAGGGTAGACACAGAAGGACTGATGACACGCAACAACAAATTCCACAGGCACCTAAAGATGAAGTGCAGCAAATGTTTGATGTTTTGTCATCAAGACTCAGTGAGGAAAATATCAGAAGTCTCTTGTTCAAAGGGGAGGGAAAACCTCAATCAGAGAGTATGTGGATTTCAAAACTTGACTTCAGGGTAATCGATAAGAAGATTCTTGAAGAGTAGAATGCTCCAAACTCGTGTTGTCAAGTTCTGGCATGGTATTTGGTACTTGATACTACTTGTTGAAGTGAGTCATTATCTAATTGTAGGGGTATAGGCATCATTACTTAGTTTTATCTTCTCTTCCTACTTGCAGACCACGTAGTCCTTGGAAGGGATTCGATGCAGGTTGCTGGCACAAGGGCTAGGAAGGTGGGAATTAGATTAGGTTTGCGTTTGATGAAAGGTTTGCTTGGAGGCGAGTTCCGTGAGTTTAGGAAAGAGGGTTTACTTATTTATTTATTTTTAATTGAAAGGGCAATGAGACCACTCATATAGGACAAAATTTAGACTTCTATTGAACAAAGAAACACGATCATGCTTTCCTTAGAAAAAGGTGACATGTTGCTAGTACTCTCTCTTGACTGAAGGTTTTGGTGTGTTCTTTGCTAAGTGTTTGTGGTTGAATCGCTTCTTCTATATCTAGTTTCATTTCTCTCATGATTTTTGCTGCGTCATATGTAGGCTGAAAATAGGGGGGCGAATTTTGAACTTCTTATTGTATTTGTGTAAGAATTTTCGAGTTCTTGAGTTTCTGAGCTCTTCTCGTAGTTGTTGCACTCTCCTTTTGACAAGAATTTCTCGCCCTACCCAATGCTCTTGGCATCAGAATGGTGGGTTAGCCTGGTGATCTAGTATTTTTAAGACTGCGAAGTTTCCAAGCTGATGTGTTGGAAGTCTCTAAGCATCAAATGTAATATTGCTCATCAATAAGGGGATAAGACCAAGCACTATACATACCAACAATAAACCTTCTATCATCTGGTTTATGACCAGAATAGACCATTTAGGAAAATCAGTTGGAGGTAGCATCATATTAATCCATCGTACCTTTTCTTAATATTCTTTTTATATTTTCAGACTTCATTTAAGAATGGTTCAAGTCTTTACAAGATTATATCCATCACTTCCATTTGGGAGCCAATGCCATGATTTTGAATTGCCTAGGAAACATAAAAGAATAATTATTCGCTAATTTGTGTCTCAATTCTACAGGAAATCATCCATGGTTGAAGAAAACATCACTTCTTGCAATATGGGATCTTGTTACTTTTGCAACTGGCTACAAATATACAATTAAACGTAAACGGATCATCGACACCTGAAGAATACAAGGCTACAAAAAGGTATTCACACATGCATGGTTTCATAAACAAGAAAATTACACAGCCATTGTGACAACAGCTTACTCTCCACTAGTCCTTGAAATTTGAGCATGTTTTTGCCTTTGTCATGATTGTTTAGCCGTTATTATAGTTTTAAAATATGCCACCACATGGTCGTACCATTAATGAAGGGAAACTATAAATACACTTTGATAAGAAATTTTTCTAACAAGTTAGGAAACTTAGTACTTACAAGAACATAAGTATCCTTGTTGGGATCAAACTCATTTGTTATCTCTGGGCCCCAATTTCCAAATTGGCGAAGTGGAAGGACTTTAAAACCTGGCAAGGAAGCTTGAGCTCTGCATATCGCAAAAAATGTAAAGGTCAGGTTTTTTAATATATATTTATATATATATGGAAGCCACTATGCAACGCTTATGGGCGAAAATGAACAATATTTTCGCCCATAGGCTTGGCGCTGTCTGATTTTTCCGGCCGCCGTAGATTAAAAGACTGCAACGGACATAGTAGTCTGTTCCGGTCAAAAAACATGTGGAAACTGCAATGGACCATGCTCCATCCGTTGCGGCTCCATTCAATAAACCGCCATGGGGAAAAACACTGTTCAAAATTGCCTATAAGAGAAGTGCTACAGTATTTCACCTCCTTCATGGACATGCTATGTTCGTGAAGGTTTTGCCTAAAAACCGCCACAGATCTACAGGAGCCGTGGAAGTCCCCCCATATTTTTTGCTTCAAATTTGTGAAAAAAAGTCAAGCCATAGACATGCTAAGTCCGTGACGGTCTTTAATCCACGCCGTCCGAAAAAATCGGATGGTGCCGAGCCTATGAGCGAAAATACTGTCCATTTTCGCCCATAGGAATTTTGTAGTCTCTTCCATTTATATATATATATATATATATATATATATATATAGAGAGAGAGAGAGAGAGAGAGAGAGAGAGAGAGAGAGAGAGAGAGAGAGAGAGAGACGTACGACGTACAACGTAACTAACGTAACTAACGTACGTACTACGTAACGTAACTTAACTAACTACGTAAGTAGGTTAGTTAGTTAGTACGTA